TCTCTCGTAGACCTTAGACGACGTCGCGTGTGCCGCGAAGCTCTCGCGGCGGCCGATTTACGGGCGACGGAAACGTTATTATGTTCGCGTACGCGTAATCGTAATTAATTTGCGTACGCGTAATCGTAATTAATTTACGTACGCGTAATTGTAATTAATTTGCGTGCGCGTGACAATATCGGGGTCGATTCGCGCGGGAAATAAAATAAAAATAAAAGATGAAACGAGAACGATAATCAAGTGTCGTGCGCCGTCGCGTCGCGAATTGTCATTGGTCCGAACGGCGAACCCCGGGGCCCGGGGCCCCGGGGGCCCCGCCGCGCGTACATCCGCGCTAGAAGAACGCGGGGACTAGTTTTCATCTCTCACCATAATCACAAACTTCCATCCAATGTGCACAGCTCTGACAACTATATTTAAATGTGTGTATATAAATAGATATATATATATATATATATATGAAAAAAAGAAAAAAAAAGAAAAGAAAAATGAAACGTAGGTATATATATATTTATTCAAATATATATATCACCGTAGTGTTTTTCACCCTGACACTCACCCACACACAGTTTTAGACCTGCTTTTAGTGGCGTTTGTACATTGTGCTATATATATATTCTTTCGATTCGATATATGTTATATTACTCTCTTTTTAATATATTTATATTTATATATTTATATTTATATATATATTATATTATATTATATTATATTATATTATATTATATTATATTATATTCATTCTTACATAGACGGACCATGGTGTATACATATGTACATAAGTACTACGTCCTGTATCTACATATCTATATACCAATTTTGCTCTCTCTCTGTTAAACATGCTGTTAATCGTGGTTTATATTATTTGTATACCCGACTTGTGCTTCTCTTAGCTGCCGAGCTACCGCTGGCTCGCTGACGATCATTCTCGAGGCATCCGGACGAAAAAAAAAGTTGCCGGCAAACGCGCGTTCACGCTGCACCCGGTTTCGGTTATCGTAGCGATTCACGGTTCTAGTTTGCTGTTCCGCCGTGCTCCGGGCTTGAATAGTGCTTTCCGTATTCCTCACTCGCACGTGCCGAATATTAATGAGGCCTCTAAGCACGCATAATTAATAAATAGAAACGAAATCATTCGATCGTGCGATCAATCAATCAATCATTCAAGCGATCAATCAATCAATCATTCAATCAATTAGTCAATCAATCAGTCAATTAACCAATCAATCAACCAATCAATCAGTCAGTCAGTTAATCAATCATTCAATCAATCATTCAATCAATCATTCAATCAATCAACCAATCAGTCAGTTAATCAATTGATTAATCGATCATCCAATCAATCAATTAATCAATCAGACAGTCAATCAATCAATCAACCAATCAGTCAGTCAATCAATTGATCAATCAATCATCCAATCAATCAATCAACCAATCAATCAATCAATCAATCAATTGATCAATCAATCATTCAATCAATCAATCGATCGATCAATTTCCCAATCAATCAATTTATCAATCAAACAATCAATCAGTTAATCAATCAATCAGTTACTCCGTTACTCTATTACTCAGTTACTCAGTTAACCAATTAATCAATTAAACAATCGATAGATCGCAGTACGAAAGAACACAAGAAATACGAATATACGAAATATACGAAATAGTATAAAAATAATAAAACAGAGCGCGGCGCAGATACGAAAAGATCGCACACGGCATAACAATCGAACGTGCGCGCGCGTACAGTATAGACGCGACGCTAACCGAGGGCTCGGCAGTTTCGCGGCAAAAAAAAAGTTTTAGTTGGTCTTTCCGTTTAGGGATACCGTACCCATTCTAGGCATTCATAGTTTTCTAGCCTTGATCGTGTCTAGTGTCTGTCAATGTGCTCGACAATGTCGATACCTTTGGTGAACCGGGGCGAGCCAGCGTGATTCACGTTAGGGTATATGTGTGTGGGCAGTCTGCAGAAACAGGTCAGCGTTATGAGTATGAACTTGAGTGCCAAGCTGGACGAGCTGCAGCGGGGTGACCGCCAGCTGGAGACCACCGTCGCCCTATGCGAGATCCGCACGCAGCTGCAGGAGCTCACCAAAAGCGTAGAGTCTTGTCAGAGCGAGGTCAGCGAGGTCAAACGGGACATGGTCGCGATCAAGGTATTGTCGATCTACGTCCAAACGAACCGGGAGCCCGCTCGACGATCATCCGGCTAGCCTATCCCCTCTCCCACGCACCGACAGAATCGGACCAATACGGGATGTCCCAAAAGTCGCTCGCGTTCGGGATCGATGGATTCCCGAGATCATTTGGAGCAACCTTTTCCTTAGCGAAAATGTTCTACGAGGCTTCGTAAACGAGTTATCGACGAAAAACTGTGGCCAATGGGCGGGGAGACTGGCCGGCGCGCCGCCCTCGCGGCCAATGCCGCGTCGCGCTGGCCGTCTGATGCAGCGGCAGTGACTGCGAGGGCGGGGCGTCAGCCGCGCGACTCTCATTGCTCACTGTTTTTCGTCGATAACTCGTAAACGAAGCCTCGTAGAACATTTTCGCTAAGGAAAAAGTTGCTTCGAATGATCCCAGGAATCCTCGTGTCCGGATTGCGAATGATTTCTGGGACACCCGGTGAACTCGGGTCGTTCCAAGGCTTTTGAGAACCACAACACGAAAACAACAGTATTCCGGCCGTCTCTGGCCAGATTTTCCGCTGATATTGACTGGTTGCAAATGGAATTTCGGTTTTCCAAATAGCAAACCTTTCGAACTATACAATTTGCACGTTGCGATTACGTTCGATTCTGCAGAATAAAATGCTGTAGAATCGACGAAATGCTTTTCGATTAATCTAGAATAATCTTTGGCAAGAAGTGACCGTTCAAGGGGATGACACCCTTGAGTTATTTAGGTTCCAATGGGCAATCCATCGGTAATCGAGAATTCTTCTTTTTCCACAGGTGATTGCAAGAACTTGTGTCTCAAGTTGTTTGTCGCAGCTGTTTGTCCAATTTTTCCTATATTATTTGCCAATACTTCCAGTAGCCGAATAATACTTCAGCTTTATATTATCTAAAGTATCCAATCTTCATCCCTGAATTTGCTCACACATTTATGCTTCTTATTTTATATAACCTTGAACAATTATTTAGCACAATTTTGTCCAATTGACATTCTTACTTTTTATTCGGTTTTCCATCTTGTACCAGCAGCGTATTCCTCATTACTTGGAAGTATAATACCGTAATTTTGGGACATCCTGTATATAGAATCAAATAAAAATTCTGTCGCATTATTGCTATACTGCGGATTTTATGTGTTTACTATAAAATTGACTGCGTTAAATTTTGAACAGTGAAAAGATAAAAAAAGATTAAGAATACCAATGCATCGTTTTCTAATTATTAAAACTATCAACAAAAGAAATCATATTCTATGCAGCTCCTTCCTCTGTATTTTACAAGTGATGCATAAAATTTTTATTTTGCATGAAGGTCCGCGGTCTTGTTATTACCCACTCGATAAAATCGTGGAACGGAGAAATAAATGTCCGTGCAACCCTTGTATCTTGTTACCAACGGAAACAGTCTTTTTTATCGTGCATAAAGACCCGCCGTTGTACAACCCCTGGCAAAAAGTATCCGATCACCTTTTAAAATGCAATAACGTTTTTCGATCTGGTCCAAGCGATTTGAATCTTTTCTTAATTGTTCAAGGGACTAGTCGTCGCGACACAAAATACTGCCATTTCTCTGTGACGAGTATACTTGTCGTGACACAAAATACCGTCATTTCTCTGTGACGAGTATACTCGTCGTGACACAAAATACCGCCATTTCTCTGTGACGAGTATACTCGTCGTGCCACAAAATATCGCCATTCCCCTGTGACGAGTATACTCGTCGCGCCACAAAATATCGCCATTCCCCTGTGACGAGTATACTCGTCGCGCCACAAAATACCGCCACTTCTCCATGACGAGTATACTCGTCGCGCCAAAAAATACCGCCGCTTCTCCGTGACGAGTATACTCGTTGAACACAGTGGTTAAGAAAAATTCGATTAATTTAGCAGAATTTTGAGAAAAGTCGTCGAATCCAAAAAGACGAACGAATACTTTTTGCCGGGATTGTACCGTTCGTTCACCATTCGAATACGATCGATCGCGGAGAAACCGCCGCTCGGTTTCGAATCTTGTCGAATTTCGTGTCGGTCGCGTTCGAGTTGGTCTCAAAAACTTGTGGAACAACCCTGTGGCGCGTGCCGGAACGAAAACCGCCGATCGAGACTCGTTCGTTCGGCATCCGACGAGCGCACACGACTTTCGGAAAAACGCTTTGCTCCACTTTCTTCGCACTCGTGCTCCGGCTCTCTACCGGTTCGTCGTAGTTGACCCGCCCGCAGATGTGTTGTTGCCACTTTGTAAACTATAATTTCCTGATCCAACGCAGCACGAACTCGATACGGTACAGCAGGTGAAAGAAGAGATAGAAGAGTTACGAGTAGTAGTGGATCGACTAGAAGAACACTCCCATCGGCGGAAACTTAGACTTTTGCAACAGGTGATCCTTGTATCTCGAACGAGTATGCTTAGTATTCCTTTTTTTTTCCTTTTTTTTTCCTTTGGCGTGCTACTTTTTATTTTACACGGAGAAAGTATGAATATATGTACCGCTTTTGATGGCTGCTTTTTTTCTACGTACGCCACCACCTATCATCATCATCATCGTCGTCATGATCGTCGTCGTCGCCGTCGTCGTCATCGTCGTCATCGTCATCGTCGTCATCATCGTCGTAGTGATCATCATCGTCGTCGTCATCATCATCATCATCATCATCATCATCATCATTATTCTCCATCGTGATTGTATTTGTTTCGTTACGCTGTCCCGTTTCGTTTCGTAATTAATTATCGTTGCCCGCCTCGTTTCTAGCGTATGTTTTTTTTTTATAGTACACCGTCTACGAATATTTTGTAATAAACCAGTCCGACATTCTCTGGCGTTCTTTTATTTATTATCCTTTCATCTCTTTATGATTCTCGTTTTTTTCTACCTCTCTCGATCGTTCGAATGTATTTTTTGATTTATTTGTGACACGCCTGCGATTGTGTTTTTTCGCTTGCTGCGATTTGGTTTGTTTTTTCTTTATCGAAAGCGATCGTTCCTTTTTCTTTTTTATTTTTCTTGTTTTTGGTATTGCTGTTTCGTACGGCCGTCCGTCGGCTCACGTGTTTTAAATGTTGTTCATGATGCTTTCAGGGACTCACACTTTTCCTGTCGTATGCAATACTGGCTGCGGTTTTAGGAATGTTGCAGTTCGGATACAACACCGGGGTGATTAACGCGCCGGAAGTGGTACGTTACCTTGGAAAAATTGATCTTTCCGCGTGCGCGTTCCGGGTCATTCAAATTCGGGGTTATATGTCAGGGTTATTTTTCGAAATATTTTTTGTAATATTATTCGAAATATTATACGTAATATTATTCGAAATATTTTTCTAAATATTATTCAAAATATTGTTGAAAATATTTTTCGTAACATTATTCAAAATATTATTCGAAATATTTTTCGAAATATTATTCATAATATTGTTCAAAATATTATTCAAAATATTATTCGGAATATTGTTCAAAATATTTTTCTAAATATTATTCAAAATATTGTTCAAAATATTATTCGAAATATTGTTCAAAATGTTTTTCAAAATATTATTCAAAATATTATTCGAAATATTGTTCAAAATATTTTTCTAAATATTATTCAAAATATTGTTCACAATATTATTCGAAATATTGTTCAAAATATTATTCGAAATATTGTTCAAAATATTATTCGAAATATTATTCAAAATATTATTAAAAGTTATCCACGAGT